TGGGACTGATTTTTTTTTATTTTTTTTTTTTCATTTTATGAGCCAACTAGTACAACACCAGTGTATTTAAATATTAAACGGGTGTTTGCTAATATTTTTTTTTTTTAAATCTAAAATTAATGAGAAAAAGTAGTTGAAAATTTAAATACCTTTTACAAAAATATATATATTATTATATATTTAGCATTACACTTTTTATTTGTGAGACTTACCTTTGTTATATTATAATAATTTTTTAACTTACAACATATAACTACATTAAAAATCCTCCCTATATATAACTTTCGAATGCGCTGAGCCTACGTGGCTGTTTCTGGTGAATTTTAATAAATATTATTATCTTTTATTATTATAAAGATAAATATAATTTATTTATTTCATATATACAATATGGATGTCAAATCGAAAATCATCAAAAGATGATTAATTTGATATATAATATACGTAAAACCGATAAGAAACACAAAAGTTATCAACTTTTAAAATACATTTGCAATTCAATAGTTAATTGAAACTTGAAAGAAACAAATCAAAGTCAGGGATATATTAGTCACTTATTGTCTCACTATGTAAAATTACAAATAATTAAAGGGTTAGATCGGAGGAAGAGAAGAGTATTAGCCAGGCTAAATGTCATTCAGAAAAGTTATTAGTACAAGTGATATTAAAATACCTAAGTTAGATAAATAATATTTATGGAATGTCCAAACTTAGATTATTAATTATTAATACATCAATATTATTTGTCCAAAGCTAATTACGAAGCATGATTTTTCACCAAGTAGGATTCCGAAGCACCAAAAAAAGTCACGTAGGCTCAGCGCATTCGGGAATTATATATAGGGAGGATAGGGAAGATGAGAATTGAGTAACGATTAGGGTTATCTTTGTTATGATTGTGTGAGGCGGGGCCATTATTAGCAAAGCTTATGGATTAATAAATCTAATAACCGTGTTTTTTTTTTTGCATATTAGTGCCTTAGTTGTAGAGCATTATCAATTTTGTCCTATTGAGTAGTTATTATTAGAGGTGTTAAATGTATGGGATCTCGTAAATATTCGATTTTGACTCAGTTCGCGTGACAAAAAGGTCAAAGTTAAAGCTTGTTCAATTGTTGAATCAGGCTCGGCTCGCCTCATTGAGGTTTAAAATTAATTTTACATCTAAATAATTTTTTATAACCTGGTTTGTTAAGGTTCAAGTTCAACTCGTTAAAGCTCGAGTTCAACTCGTTGATATTGATAAACGAGATGAATTCGAACTTGATTACGAACTCATTTAGTTAACGAGTTGAGCTCCGCTCGGCTCGACTCGACTCGTAAAATATCAAGCCCAGATACTAGGAGCCTAGGTATTCGACCCGGCAGACCGGCTCCGATCCCATACCATTTCTAGAAAAAAATGAAGAACATTGCTTTTCTCATATCGGGCCGACGAGTCATATCTTCAAAATGGCTGACCCTGAATCAGCTCGGTTATAATCCACGCTATGCCCATACCCTGTTGATCACGGGTTTGGGCTGGGTTCGTGTCGAGCGGCTCATGGCCATGTCTAATTGTGAACTTTACTATACTCATGTTATACTAGTAACTATATCTTCTTTATGGTTGTTTTGATTATTGATGGTGCATATTTCGAATTGTTGCTATTGAACAACCCAGCCATTAGGTAGATCTATATAGTATATACAATACATTTTGAATAATAATATAAATTGGTACGATACATGTGTACTACACAGGTGTTTGATAGATGTAATACTAATACAATAAATGAAAGAGAAAAATATTATATATTTTGTTTGAGTTGGAAAAAATACATAGGAAACAATATATTACAATTTATTATAAAGAACTAAAGTGAATTAACAATATTATTTTGAATTCTAGAAACTAATATATATACAGTTTTATTTATACAAGTTTTGTAACACATAAGACAATGATATGGAAAAAAACAAAAAAACTCAAAATTTGAAAAATAAGACAATGATATGAAAAAAAACTCAAAATTTGAAAAATGAGATACTATGCACATCATAGAATGAAGTTAATAAATAGATTTACAGGAAATAGTCTCATTATATGAAATAGTGTATTTATTTTAATCCAAACCCAAGCTATTTGGCATAAAAAAAATAGTATTTTTATTCGAGCCATATTACAAAGTGTAATATTTTGACAAATAAGATTACAAAGCGTGCGAACTGCCACTCAAACTCAACACATTAGGTAATTATACATAAGGATAATTTATATTATGTAATATAATACCCTTATCTATATTACATTTTAAAAAATATATATTATAAAAATATATATAACAAAATCATACATATACATATACATAACATTGAAAAAGTGTAACAAGCCTTTCGGCATATATGTTTACCATTATAAAGCCGAAAGGCGATGAACCAACTGCAAGTTACACAACGGCCTAGCCCCTTCCCAACCTAATTTGCTCAGGCCCAACAAATTCAGCCCAACCCAGTAAGCTACACCGAATTGCACGGCCCTTTTCTCCTTCTCATCGTCTTTTAGCTTAATAAAAGGACGATTTACAGGCACCTCGTCCCCTATCGATGCAACTCTCAAATCACCGTTCAAACCCCAAAAAAACCCTATCTCATCATCCTTTCGCTGGCGCCTCACTTCCCGAGCACCGATAATGGAGAATTGTAATTTTAGGATGTTTTCTCTTTGTTGCGGTTTGGCTTTTGTATTGTGAGGAATTCTTTAGATTACGCTACAGATTTCAAAATTACTGAAGTTAGGGTTCCTAGATTTTGTGATTCTTTTTGTGTAATTAGCTTCAATGAAGCCGCTATTTTTTGTACTGGTTAGCGAATCGTGTTCGTCTGTGTAGCTGTTTAGCTGTACTGTAACAGTATAGGGTTAAGGATGAGGAATTTGATGTAGATTAGTTTTTATCCCCCTTTTTTTCGGTTTTGTTTGATTGGGATGGATAGTAAACGTCGGCCATTCGATAGATCTTTCTCCAAAGAAACTGGGCTGAAGAAACCAAGGCTCGCCGAGGAACCTACCGCACCAGATCGCATCTCCAATGGCCGTGCCGGGATCTTTCAGCGGTCGGCGGTTCCTAATTCGAGCTTTGGTGGAGACCCGCGTGCACATAGGGACCGAGATTCAGAGGGCGGCGACCCCGTTCGTGGGGCTTACCAGCTGCAGCCGGGTCAGCAGGAGCTGGTGGCTCAGTACAAGACGGCTTTATCTGAGCTGACGTTCAATTCGAAGCCGATTATAACGAACTTGACAATTATTGCCGGTGAGAGTATGCAGGCGGCCAAGGCCATTGCAGCAGCTATCTGCATCAATATCCTTGAGGTGATTTGATAATTTTTTTCTACCTTTGCTGGTAATGTCTAGTGTTGTGTGGTGTCACTCAGATTGTAAAGTTGTGTAATTGTAATTTGGTTTCGACTAATGGATTCTTTTCCTCATGAAAAAAGAAGAAATTGTGTGCAGGAAGTATAAATTTAGTTTTAGTCTTTCAGAAAGTTCCGATCTTTGCTTTGATGCTCATCCAATCTTACACATTACTGCGTTCTCCTTGAGAACTTTTGGGTTTAAAGTTGTGGGTTGACATGTGTGAAAGGATATTGAGACTGACTAATTATTTCCACAACCATTAATACCCAATTACATACATCTAATATATCTACCAATGATGTTGAAGATACGCAAGCAAGCTAACTTTTGATGCTCTTTTCCTTTTTAACATTTACTTCTCCTCTTACCTACCTGCCTTCGCACTGGCAACGCCGTTGGACAATGTTTCATCAGCTGCTTTACATTGTTGTTTGTAAAGAATATGATGTGTTTTCTTGTTCACTGAAATGATTGGTGTTGTGTTATCTTTATGTTGGTCCCATTTGGATTTAGCATGATTTAGCTTTACTATATGACTGTTTTCAGTTATTCATTGCTTTGCAATTCTCCACTGTTTTGCAAGTAATCATGAAATCCTCTTTCCCACTTCCACCCTCTCTCTCTCTCTCTCTCTCTCTCTCTCACACACACACACACACACCCACGCACTCGCTCTCTCATTATCCCCCTTCTTTAGGGATTGTTTTCCTCCTCATGTATGCTCTACCAAGCAATTGATAATCTATATTGTGAATTGTAATATTGGATGATATATCATCAAAGAATAATTTGTATGAGTGAGTGACATTTAATATAATAATTGTTAAGATAAGTGTTATTGTACTGATGCTGTTTATTTGATGTTGTCACGCTTCCGTGAATATCTGTTCATTGTAACGTGTCGTTTGCGTTTTGAAATACAATTGTTACAGTTGTGATCGAGACCTGACTTTGAGATGATCCTTCCAGCCAAAGAAACTGTAGTGTATCAGTGATTCGATTGCACTAAATTGGAATTCGACAGTGAAGAGCTAATTTTGGAATTTGGTCGTGTATGTGTATGGAAAATTACTTTAAAGTTTTCCTAAAGTAATTATTAGTTGGGTTCGTGATCTTGATATGGATCACTTTAGAGTTTTTATCTGGAAAATTATTAGTTGGGTTCGGGATCTTGTCTGTCACTTGTTAGTCATATAATACATTAGCTCTGTTGAAGTTGTCATGTTCTATATACACTGTCATGTTTTTTTTTTCCCATCAATTATTAAATGCTATCCCCAAATTTATGGATCTCATGCCTGATCTTGAAAGTTATTTACAGGTTCCTACCGATCAAAAACTGCCATCCCTCTATTTGTTAGACAGTATTGTGAAGAACATTGGGAGGGATTACATAAAATACTTTGCTTCCAGGTTACCCGAGGTTAGATCTCCTGAATATAATTATTATTCGTTAAAGTTGGGATTTAAGCAGTCATCACTCTTATATAACCTCTCTGTACGTATTTTTTTTCTCCCTTAATTTCCGTTATCAGCATGACAATTGCTTTCTGGTGCATTTTTCCAGGTTTTCTGCAAGGCTTATAGACAGGTTGACCCTTCAGTACATCCAGGCATGCGCCACCTTTTCGGGACCTGGAAGGGAGTTTTCCCTCCGCAGACCCTTCAAATGATAGAGAAGGAACTTGGATTCACTACGACACCCAATGGTTCTTCATCCGCAACAACTTCTAGGCCTGAGTCCCAAGGCCAACGTCCTGCTCATAGCATTCATGTTAACCCCAAGTATTTGGAGGCAAGGCGGCTTCAGACCACTAGAGTAAGTGCCTCATGATTGTCAAATGCCAATAGCTGTTCTGTTTTTTTTTAACATAATAATAATAATAA